ACAAGCCGCCGAAATTGCGGAGCTTAAGCGACAACGCACAGCTGGTAAGCAACCCCCTGGGTAACCGACGAACAAGGACCTAACGATCGATATAGATGCGGTTCCTTTGCTCCGTTTGGTGCCGGTGGGCCGAGCTCGCCCCGACGACACCAACGATAGTGGCGATGAGTTGTCAGGCGCGGATCCCCGGCCGCCTGCCACAACATCGCCAGCAGCATTGACGACGGCCGCCGCCGCCTTGTCGCCGGCCACCCCGGGCAGCAATGGCGACAGTGGCGATGAGATGTCAGATACTGCCCCCCTGCCGCGTGCCTCGACCGGGGCGCAGCCATATCCAGACACCGTGCCGGCATCGCGACCTCACATGGGCGACTCCAACCCCTTGCAATCCAGCCCTGCGCCGCCTGCAGTGGCAAACTCATTGTCGGCGGGGAGCAGTTCCAGCAATTCTGGCAACGACGACGGCGCCTCCAGCAGCCGCAGCACTGCCAGCAGCCCCCCCCAGCGACAGCCAGTTCCCGCTTGACCAACCCGCGGAATTGGCTACGGTCCCTGGTTTCCTCGCAATCAATCGCGCAAAGCCACCGGCTGGACAATCGACGGCCAGCAATCCCGAGGCGCAGGCAGCGGCTGGACTGTCGACGGCCAGTAGTCCCTTGAGCCCTTCCCCTGAGATTTTCGATGCCGTCATGCGCGACAGCGAAGTGCTGGAGCCTGACGACGGCCATCCCCGGCCCCTTCCCGTCACAGAATTACAGCCACAGAGTCACATTTCTGTTGTCGACCTCGACAAGATACCTTCGGCGAAGCCCCGGGAGTTCAAGCTGCCAAAACTGACTGGTCCATATCGCATGCGGCTGGAAAGGCTGGTCACGGAAGCCCAAAAGAAGTTCCCGGAGAGGAATCTTGGCCAATTCGGTGAAAACCAGTTCGTGGACCGCCGCATGATGGAAGACCTTCTCAGAGATGATCTGCCAGACAGATACTACCTAGACGCCCGCCCTTCAGATCTGAACAAAACACCGCCGCCGCGTGGTCTCGTTCTGCCCTACCACGTCAACTGCTCCGACCAGCTTTCGGAACAGGGCCAAAATCATTTCGTCATTGCGGTCGTCGAGTTGGACCAGTCCAAATTTATCAGCTGGGGAATGACAAAGGAAAAGCGCGAGCAGGAGGCGACCGCACTTGTACGTATGCTCGGTCGTAATGATGCTTTTGAGCAAGAACCACGCGATGTAAGAGCCCCCAGTCCTAAACGATCGGCTGAGCATCGCGCTGATCCTTGCAGCTCGATTCCGAGGATAACTGCTGTGCTTTTCGATGCGTGGAGGCCGTACGCATCCATTTTGGGATAGACAAAGAGCGAGAGCGGGACAATACCGCCCTTCGGCTGGCCTCCCTGAAGAGATGGATCAAATCTAAGAATAAGGCGGTTGAGGCGCTGAGGTCCGGCAATCCCCGAGAAGACGGAGATCAGGCGCTTGCAGACGCCGGGATTGGTGACTTCGCTACCGCGGTTTCGACCCCGGTTGATCCAGAAGTTGAGGAAGTGCTCCTTGACGAAATTTCTGCAATCGAGGGTGCCGACACCCCACCAGATGCTTCAGCGTCGGAAGCGTCAAGCCAGCAGCAAGCTTCGACGGCTGAAGCAGCGCCAGGTCCCCCATCGGAACCGCTTAGCCAGCGCAAAAATGGCACTGCCGCGTCAAACTTGGACGCCTCCACCGCGGCTAAATTCGTGGTGGCCCCCGAGCGGGGAAGAAGGCCGCTTCCCGACAGCCGACCCCAGCCAGCTGCTCCACCACCCGAGCTCGGACATTCCCAGGCTCCCCCGCCCCACTCTAGCAACAGTGGCAACACCATCCCTCCTTCCAGTGACGTTCACAACGGCGTGAGATACAGATGGATGCCCGACACCATTGGTGGCTCCGTTTTATTGCTCGAGCCAACACCGGACCAATACCGGGACCTGAAGGAAGGCCCCGAAGATGACATCCCTTCGCTTATCCGCTGTGGCAAGGAACTCGCGGGAAAGGCTGGCATATTTGTGATTATCGCGCCAGTAAGTTGTCGACCAAACCGTCCCAAACAACCTTCGTTTCGCCGAGGAAAGTCAACAACATACGAACGAAAACCACTGGAACATGGTTTTTCCCAACTTCTCACCCAACACCAGACAATGAGAATTCAGTCTTTCGATAACGACAAGCTTAAAATCGACTCCAGCATTACCGACGACGTCGAAAAGTTTGCAACAGTAATCTCAGATCCAACGGAACTAGGCAACGTGGCCTACCAGACCGACATCCCAGCCCACACTGAAGAAGAGCGCAGGGGGGCATTTCTACCTCCAGAAAGTCCGGTTTGGCCGTTCCGAGGCAACAAGTTTCCTGCGGATGGTCCTGTTCCCGGATTACACAATCCTTCCGCGTATCAGTCGCGGCCGTGGGGACCGTTTGCATGGCATCGTGAAGATTTACGCGCGTGGGCGGTCAATTATCTCTATTGCGGAGAAAAGATCTGGCGCGTTATCGAGCCAGGATCAGAAAAACAAGCGGACAGAGTGTTTGCCGACATGCTGGGAGTGACGCCGACCCACAACCAATATCTCCGGCACCAAGCTTTGCATGGCGGCGTTAATCGCTTGCGGGAGGGGGGCGTCGTTGTAAGAAAGTTCAAGCAAAGAGCCGGGCAATTGGTCATTACCCTTCCAGGCGCCTACCATTCCGGATTCAGCGTCACTTCCACTCAGGCCGAAGCGGTCAACTGGACGGATTCCACAGATCGGTCCGAGGAATATGTCCCTTGCAACGCGGAATGCAATGATCACGACCCGATTACGTATGAGATAGCGTTTTCGAACGATCAGCCCCAGAACTCAACTTCCCTTAAAAAGGATGCAGGCAAAGAGCATCACGCTGGAGAGCAGCATACTGGCAACGAGCATACGGATAAGCAAAACACAGGCGATGACCAGCAAACCAAAGTCGCAGGAACCCGGAGATCAGGAAAGAGGAAGTCCGAAGGTACCCCCTATCCCGCAGGATTTGTCATTGGGAACAATGCGCAGCAAGCCGCTACCCTGCGCAGTGCACGGCAAAAAGCACCGAGGGTGGCAAAAGACACAAGCGGAAAGCAGCACGAGTGCGGCGAGCGGCGGGGCGAAACCGTCGAATCACCAAGGTTACGGAAAAACAAACGCGCTGCTGCCCCAAATGAACCACCATCCGACGAGCCACAATCCAAGCGAAAGCCCCGTCCCGTAGCCATTATGGCCGAACATTTACGCGACGCAAATGCCATCGCACGGTTAAGGGGTCACATCAGAGCTTCAAGGGGAGATGGACGGCTTCCAGAGTTAGAGGTCAAGGAAGAAGATAGTGTCCGCGCAGCAGTTGCATATTGCAAGATTGCGATTCAGGCTAAGCAGTCAGCTGGCTACTGTGGCCTAAGGTCATGGATAGCATGGGCTTCAGCTAATAAGCTTATCAACCTTGAGAAGGAGAAGGCGAACAGAAAGCGCAACCCTGAAGATGTGCTCAAAAAAGCGCATGCAGAAGTCGCTACCTTGACATATGGTGCGTTCAAAAATCGCCTTTCAGAAGC